TCGATTACACTATAATTGACCGAGATTGTACTAATTTGACTTCAATTGGACTAATTCGAGGTCCATTGCACTATAATTTGACTACAAGAAATGATAACTGTTTCCAATAATTTTTACAATGGTAAATATTATCATTAACTAGTCAAAGCCGCGAATATCTACCCGAACATATGAATTAGTGAACTGTAATTTATTTTCAATTTATTAGTTGTCCCATGATTTTTGTATTTTTGGGTATATTATTCTTGATTTTTATTAGTGAGTGGAGATTTTATGTAATCGCAAAGAAGTTATTCAGTGAATTTGTCGTCTGCTGCCTAAATTACGGACCAATTTTATTATTATTTTTTTTTTTTGAAACGACAATTATATTATATAAACTAGAAACTCAAGAGAGTACAAGAGAGTGCCAACTGACACTAAGGAACCAGAAAACCTGGACCTACCCCTTGAAACAACACAAGTGTCCAAGGGTAAAACCTCCAACAAGGAGACGAAAAACAACACCACGCCACAACACAACTCCAAAAAGGAGATAAAATTCCACAAGGGAAACTAAATACCAGACACAGCTGGACTGAATGAATAAAAATAAACAAACAAAAAAAATAAACACAAAAGAAGACTAAAACAGTAAAACCACACACACCTAATATACAAACTAGAATTAAACCTCCCCTAAACCTAGCAAACGAACCACACGATCACCATAGCTGACAACCGAGTCCCATCCACAACCAAGAACCTCAAACGAGTAGCAAAACTAGACTTCAAATTCGAAAACTGCGGCAACTCAAACCGCCTAGACGAGTTTTCATCCAGATCTGAACCCAAATAGCTTCGGGATTGGGAAAAAGAGGGGAAGCACCAAGAAAATGCCGGAGGACTCGACAAGAGACCAAGGAAAGACCACGCGGCTCGCAACCGAGCAGTCCGGCCCAACAGACCCGACCCCCTAGAAGCTGACCCAACACGCGCCTCCATGGTGCTGAAAAGGAGCTCATGAGACCGGGACACCAACATTTCGGTGGGCTCCCGCGGCAGGGCGGAAAACGGCCGGCGACCCCTCCGGAGCCGAGAGGATAGGCTTGGCGACGAGAACCACGGCCAGCCACGATCCCACAGGACTCCGGGAGGGGCGGAGAAGAAGGCCCTAGCCGCGACTCAGTCAGAAAAGCTTGGATTGCGCGAGATTCCCTCGCCGGAAGAGGGGGGGCGCCGATTTGCAGATCTAGGAGAAAAAGGAGAGAGGGTTTTTTTCGCAGGGGAGAAAAAGGAGAGAGGGTAAAAATATTTTTGATTTATTATTATTTTACTTGATCTGTACATAAATCACACTACTACTTGAACTGATAGATTTTATCATTCAAACATTGAACTGATAACTGAACTCGAATTAGTTTAATTGAAGTCAAATTAGTACATTCTCGATCTATTATAGTATGATCGAACTCGAATTAATCCAATTGAAGTCAAATTAGTACAATCTCGGTCAATTATAGTACTAATTTGACTTCAATTGGACTAATTCGAGTTCGATTACAGTATAATTGACCGAGATTGTACTAATTTGACTTTAGTTGGACTAATTCGAGTTCGATCACACTATAAATGACCGAGATTGTACTAATTTGAGTTCAATTGGACTAATTTGAGTTCGATCACACTATAATTGATCGAGATTGTACTAATTTGATTTCAATTGGACTAATTCGAGTTCGATTACCCTATAATTGACCGAGATTGTGCTAATTTGATTTCAATTTTACTAATTCCGTTTTATCTGTTTTTAATTTTTTTTATTAAAAACGGAATTTTGAAATTCGTGTTATCTGTTTTAAATATATATATATATAATTTTTTTAAATTCGACTTTTTCAAAAAAAAAATTAAAATAAAAACTAAACACGAAATATGGAATTTTTTTTAATTTCTTTTTTATTTTTTTTATTATTTTTTTTATTTTTTTTATTTTTTTTAATAAAAAATAAAAAACGGATTACGAAAATTCGTTTTTTAATAATTTTTTTTTAATAAAAAATTAAATACGGATTACGAAANTGAAAAAAAAAAAATGGTTATTGGATATAAGTGGTTTTTTATTTAGTTGAAAAGATAAATTTTTTCAACAGTTGGATATTATTTTTAATAAAAAAATCAATTTTTTTTTCAATCTTACGAATGGCTATTAACAAAATTAACTATTGGCTATTAATAATTTACGTTCATTATTTTACTATTTTTCTACCACATCTTAATTTACAAACTCAAAATCATTTTATTTTTCCACCAAAATAATTTTTTCTACTCTTTAATTTGTATTTTCCAAAATAATTTATAGCTGATATCGCTCCATAACATGTTGTAATGTAATTTATTATTTTATAAACTATCTAAGCATTTTATTTAGTTGTTTAAGACTGTTGGTACAATTATTAGCAGTCAATTCTATCAATAGAATCTAATTATGAAAATCGAAATTTAGACACCACAATATGTAACAAGATTTCTGTAAAACTGGTAATGTAATTATGTTGCAGTTTCTTTCTTGCCATGGTTCTCTGCTTCTTCTTTCTTATGTATACGTAAAAGTTAGGACAAAAGGCCTTTAAACTTTTAACCCCTTCAATACTCAGGATATTATATTATATTATTATTAATTTTAATTAGTAGAATTCATCTGCCTAGGATTCAACGATTTGAATACTACAGGATTTGCATCTTTGTCCTTAGAGACTGCATTTTGTTTAAGACAAGTTGTTTAGATTCGGTCCTCAAGCAATAAATTTAAAAAAATAAAAATAGTAACCGCCCACCCAAGTAAATGACAAACACTGAAAACCTTATCACAAATCATTTTATTTCTCCAATGTGACTTTTGACATTATAAAAATTCATCCATATCATCAACTTTTGAAAGTGTGTTACTAATTTATTCTCCAATGCATCTTGTCATGAGCCATTTCATGATGAGGTGGATAACATTTAATGTGACAATGTTGAACACACTTTCTAATATCTAACACCATGTTCAACATGATGACTAATCAATTCACTTTATATTTGATTTAATTTTTTGTTGTTCTTGTATTAATGATTATTTTAATTGGTCCACCTATACAAATAACTTCATATCAAATTGATGCATTGAAGATACTACTTTGATTCAAACTTCTACTCTTTTAACATTATTCCTACATGGATTAACATTACAATCATTGATTGACATGTGTTAAAAATAATTGTCTTTCAAAACTATGACATTGGAGATGCTCTTAGGTTTGGTGGTGTTATCAACTTCTGACCTTTTCAGTTTTAAAGTACCATCATTAGTTTAGGCTTACCTGTTACAATTATAAGTGCTAACTGAGGAAAAAAACTTGTTGGAACAAAAAATTATACAAAGAGTATTATGAATCAGAGTTTACGTATCTAAAATTTTAAAATCACGAAATAAATTAATTGATGAGGAAGGACACTTTTTATTCTTCTTATTTTTTATCATTTTCCCGGTGTACATTTTATCAAATTGTTAGCACTATATAATATTATGACAGATAGTTTCAAAAATAAAACTCCAGGAGACACTACCGTTAGATGTCATAAATATCCTCAGGAATATTCATGTCTTTAATAAGTAAGTAATAATAACAATAATTTCTCTGAGTTCTTTTTCTGAATTTCGATGTCGTCTTGGGGTTGGTCCAAATGGTAACGGGCCATGAAATTAATTGTTGCATTTTACTAGACTAGACAACGATTATATTTTGTGTAATGTGTTGCATTTAGACTTTTGGTCATGTGACAAGTTACCAGTAAAATATAGCAGTTATACTTATTCATAAACACCACAAGACCATGGATTCTTTTACCGAAAAAAAAAAGGGGGGAGTGTTGTGGACAAAAAAAGAAAAAGAAAAAAGGGGGTGGACAAGAATGAAAAGCCCGTATTTGCTGAATACGGCTTTTGAATTTTTTATTTGTAAAACGTATTCCGTGAATACAGTTTCCTTTGTAAAAAAAATGTAAAAAACGTATTTAAGAAATACGTTTTTTAATTAAATTACATAGAAAACGTATTTACGAAATACGTGCTTTCTATTTTGGTCCACTCCCTCCTTTTTTCTTTGTTTTTTGTCCACTTATTATTTTTTTATTAATAAATATATAAACTGCCCCAAGACCATGGCTGTTCTTATTTTTTCTAAAATATACTATAAATTAAGAAATTAGACGCATTGGATATAAATCCAAAACAGCACTAAAACAACAAAAACCTTGCTAACATCATCACGTGAAGTGAGAATCAAACAAGTACACAATGAACTAAACCACCAAAAGCAATGTGGATGTAACACTTTCTTTTTTTCCCTAAAATTGATTTTCTTTCGTTTGCAGGGATTATAAAGACATCTTTTAATCTTTCTAACAAACAAAAGAAAACTGTAGTTGCTAGTGACTGATAATAACAAGTAACAAACCTCAACACTTTTCTTCTGGTTTCTTACTCAACATTACAAGTTGAGTTATCCTATAATAAAGTTGCTTCTGAAGTTTTTATCATTTTTGAAACCTGGCTTTGCTAAACGGTTCCACCATTTGAATGGACAGTCTTTTTCCAATATTTGATTACTATCTGCACTTCTACCGTTGTTCACTTGCCTTGTACTTCTAAGGCCACAGCTAAACAACCATACTTTTTCAACAAATATGCATACTTACAAACTAAAATGTCATATTCTGAAATTCAACACAACGAAAGTATGACATTTCACTCAAGAATTTGTGTTTTCTGCTGGACTCTTTTTTCATTTGCGCGTTTTTTGCCAAGAGGACATAAATTAAAAGGGAGTTCAATTCAAGTAGCTAGGGAAATAAAGTTTGTTTGGACTTGAACTAACTGTACAGAAGAGTCCATTCTCAACTACAACTACAACTACCCAATATAAAATTTCGAAACATGGGGAATTACATGTTCTTGCCAATTTAAGGTGCCACGCATAAATCCGAATGATGCAAGAGCACGATTATCATATGAGCTATTGCCGTTCTTTGATGTGTTCTCTTCTCACTCAACTAACTGAAAGTCGCACAAGAATTCCAATTGACAAACAGAAATTAAGGGCTTCATTGTTTATCAAATATTTTGCCCAAAAAAGTGAGTTAATTGGATTTGAAAAATTTAAAGGGCCCAAAAAATTCTTTAAGCCAGCAAATAATAACCCAGCAATAAGCAAAGCAATCAGTTTAAACATACCGACACCTCGGGCTTAGAGCCAGTGCCATGTATGAACCACCAGGGACCCCTCCGTTGCAATAATCTGAAACGAGAAAAAAGAAAAGGAAAATATGTTAAAAATACAAGCAAAATTAATCCATCGGAGGTTCGATGTAATTAGCTTATCCGGTTAGCTTATAAGCTTTTTGTATTTAAATAAGTTTTTCGTTTGGTAGAACAAGCTTTTTTTAAAAGATCGAGCTTATCTCATAAGCTTCTTTGGGTAGTTTTTTAAATAGGTTCGTTGGAATTTTTATTTCAGCTAATTTTATCAAACACTTTTATCATGTAAGCTAGTTTTTCAGCTATAAGTCATAAGCTATAAGCTCGAAAATCACGTATAAGCTTTAAGCTAGCTTATCAACTAGTTTTACAAACATAGCCTTAGAAAGTACTAAATTACCAACCTAGGCAGAATCTCTATTACGAGCCAAACACAAGAAATCCCCGCAAATAACAAAAGCATTTGTACAATGACAAAAGCATTCCACAATTAGATAGAGTCACTGCACCTGATAATTCCAGCCACCATTCTAAGTCCCATGAAGAGAGTCAAGCCAGACCAAACACCAACAAGTCCAATTGTTTTAGGAACACATAGCAAAAACGCAGAGGATATTGTCCCGACCAGAACCTACATTTTGAATAATATTTGCATATCAAAAGTCGAATCGAATCTCATGTATGTATCAGTAAATCACGTATTATAGCACAATTTTCAAGACATACCATTGAAATCGCAGCATATCGGAAGTCCAAGACACCATAGTGAAGACCATCGAAAATAAAAGCTAGAGCATTTATAGGTTGACTGGCGCTAACAAACTGCAGGACATATTTAACTTTGAGAAGCTATTAAACAAAGCCAGCCGACTTAAAATACGTGAAAAAAACTAGTCAAACTTTACCAGAATGACATTTCTAATAACTCCTAGAACTTCTGCATCCTTGGTAAATAGTGTGGCAAGGGAACCAAACGAAAAACCTAGGATTAGAGCTAATGAAACGCCGGTAATGAAGCCTATCTGGAAAAACGAAATATAAAAGAATGTCAAGAAAATGTTCCTTGAACAGAAAGGACTATGGTCTTTATTAGCAACAATGGCGAGAAGAACCTTTAATACGAAGTGCGTGATGTCCTTCACAGTCTTGTAATCGTCGTTAGATATGTAACCAGCGATTAAGGCCTGGGAAAAACAAATATCGAGGCAAAATGAAACCCAAGAACAAGCTGAACCATGCATAATCGAATAATACATATATTTAAGCAATGATTATAAACAAAAATTGAAAAACTTTGATTTTCGCTCCAGACCATCACGGAAAAGACTAACAAGCACATTACTAATGTCATATTATAAGTATATAGATCATCATCTGCAAGAGTAGTATTACAATTGAACTAATACGTAGGCAAGGATATTATTTTTATTTGGGAATTAGAACAGTAATATAGAGAGAAAAAAGTGAAAGTTTAATGAAATATAACCTGAGCGGATGCAGCAAGTGCATCAGTAAGAAGGGAAACAGCAAGCCAGACTTGAAGACATATCTGATGAGCAGCCATTGCTATTGGTCCCTGACGAGCAGCCATGGATGTGCCAAGTGTCATTGTCAGCAGAACAGAAAGAGTCCTCCCAATAAGAAAACCACCTAACCATCATCAGAAAATATTAATGAATAACGGATGAACTAACTTGTAATGATAGATAAGGAAGAGGAAAAGAATTACAAGTGACTAAGGTAATCGACATATGCTTACCTGATTTTAGGTAATCACCAAACTGTAGTTCTCTGAGCTTTGGAGGCAGCAATACAGTTCTCTTATTAAGATGCCAAATCATTAAGAAGGCAACTATGTATCTGACAGCAATGAAAAATTATAAGAACAAGTTTTAAGTAAAGATATAAACAAGAACCTAAGTTCAAAATTACCTAGACATATGAAAGGAAATGGGACGAGCATACAAATACATACTGAGAGACAACAGTGGAAATGGCAGCTCCATAAACACCCAACTGACAATAATACATGAAAAAGGGAAAGAGAAGTACAGCAGATAAATTTCCAACACCTGCGGATGAAAGTGTGAAAGTGTATAAGTGTATATTAACTTTTTAGTGAACCAAAAAAAAATGGTTAAAGAAGAAAATACAAAAAACTTGCTCAATTCGAAACATGGAAACTTACCTAAACAAAACACGGGAGTCTTCATATCCTTGAAACCACGGAAAATTCCTTGAAGTGCCAAAGAAACAACAAAAGCTGGAGCACCAAGCGCCCGCAGAATAAGAAAATGTTGTGCAGGACCACGCATTGAAGAAACCTGCAAACACAACTTACCCCTTAGATAAAAAGTTTATCAAAATGTTACTTGTGTATGTACACGATTTCTTCTACTTGCGACAGAAAAGTGGGGCCTAGTCTAGTTGAAGCAGAAACATTTTCTCAGATGAAAGAAAAAAAAGCTTCGACGGAACATCTCCTAAGTTTTCTACAAATACTTACATGATAACAAAATTATCATAAATATGGTATAGATTAGATAGTATCAATTAGGTGATATGGTAAATCCCTTAGATTAGGTGTTTTGATTTCTTTCCTTTCTTACATCTTCTATGGCTTGTATATATATGTTGTAATCCTCATTGAGTGAAATATTAATTCAAGCTTAATAGCATTACATGGCATCAGAGCCAAACCAAAATAAAGTTAGGGTTTTTTGAAACTTTTAGTAAAATTCGTTGGTGTTTAGAGTAGACAAACATCGGGTGAGTTTTGGGTCTCGCCTCCTGCACCTTCGGACTCGCCATCATCGGACCGGCCATCCGGTGAAGAATCGCCGTCAGATTCCGCACGTGTGAGGAACACGCGCCGCCGTAGCCATCTGCAGCATGTCTCACGCGCCGGCGCGTGAGGGCGCGTGTCTGGCCGGAAATTTTTCCGGCGAACGTCCGTCTGCTCGGAATTTCTCAGGCTGCCTGTTGGTGTTCTCAGTTTTGGGTTTCAGCGACCCCTTGGTGTTCAGGTTGATTTTTTTCTTCATTTCAGCCCTTTGTTAAATTTGGTTCACTTGCTCGGGCACAATCCTGTTCTCATGGCTGCGAATAAAATTGTGTCTGAAATTGTTCCTATTATGAATAAAATCACCGATGTTAAATTGAATGGATTTAATTTCCTTGGTTGGAGTAAAACTATTATTGTCCACCTCCGTAGTATTGACAAGGACGATCATTTGGATTCGGATCCTCCCATAGATGATGTCAAAGATGATACTTGTCGGGCGTGGTTACGTGATGATGCAAAATTGCTCGTTCAAATTCGAAACTCCATTGAGCCTGATATACTTTCTTTGGTCAATCATTGTGAATTTGTCAAAGAATTGATGGATTATCTAACATTCTTATACTCTGGGCGTACCAATATATCTCGTATTTATTCAGTTTGCAAATCGTTTCATAGAGGAGAGCAACAGGATAAAAACGCTACAGCATACGTCGTGGAGTTTAACAAGGTTTATGAGGAACTAAACTCCCTCCTCCCGTTAAGCAATGATGTCAAAGCAATGCAGAAACAATGGGAACAAATTGCTGTTATGAGCTTCCTGATTGGGTTACGTCCAGAATTTGATGCTTTCAAGAATCAACGTCACTCTGAATCGCCATTCCTTCTCTCCAAGAGACATTTTCCCGATTCCTTTGGACTGAGGAAATGCAGTCTCCAACTCTCGGCACTCATGTCTCTCAACATAGTGCCATGGTCACTCGTGGAGGCTCCTAAGGTGTTTCTCGTGGCGGATCTCGACGAGGATCTCGAGGGGGTTCTCGAGGTTGTACTCGAGGAGGTCCGACAAAATCGTGACTCTCGCAATCCCGAATCCGACCAAGTGGAATGTTAATTGTCATGAACTTGGGCACACTAAGTATTCATGCCCCCAGTTGGAGAAGAAGAATCAGAAGGGCCCCTCTGCTCATGTTGCTTCATCGTCTGACATGGTCACTATCTCTGCTGAGGAGTATTCTCGACTTACTGAAACAGAGAAGCCTTCTTCATCCGCTGCCGTCTTTGCTGACACAGGTAATTCCGCTACATGCCTCATATCTAAAGGCAGCAGATGGGTTATGGGTCATTGATTCAGGTGCATCGAATCATATGACAAGTAACCCAAACCTTTTTTCCACCCTTGACCCCCATACACCTTCTTCTCATGTCACTATTATTGACGGTCTACTACTCGTGTCCTTGATTCTGGTTTAGTTAGTCTTACTCCTTCTATCTCGTTACACTCTGTACTAAGCTTGCCAAACTTTGCTTTTAACTTACTCTCTGTTAGCAAACTTACAAAATCATTGAATTGTAGCGTCTCATTCTTTCCAAACCATTTTATTGTGCAGGATCTTTCAACGAAGCAAATCCTTGGTGAAGGACGTGAATCTGATGGCCTCTATGTTTTCGACTCTCCCACATCTAAGTCACCTGTTTGCACCCCTTCCTTCCCCTCCGCCTCAGATAACTCGGCCACCCATTACACATACATATACTCGACGTTCGCAATCACATCGCGAGGTCATCATAGATTCTGATTCACGTCTTTTGCCTGCTGCTCCGGTGGAAGACCCTGTCCCCGAACCAAATATCCCTGTTGCGCTTCGCAAAGGTAAAAGATCTTGCACTTACCCTATTGCTTCTGTTGTGTCTTATGACAACCTGTCTGCTTCTTCAAGTTCTTTTATTGCCAATCCTGCTTTGGCTCATCCTGGATGGCGTGCTGCTATGATTGAGGAAATGAATGCCCTTGATCATAATGGCACATGGTCTTTAGTGGACTTACCTGTTGGCAAAAACGCACAATTGGATGTAAGTGAGTCTTCACTGTTAAAGTTAATCCTGATGGCTCTTTGGCACGTCTTAAAGCTCGGCTTGTAGCTAAAGGCTATGCTCAGACTTATGGCACCGATTACTCTGAGACTTTCTCTCCCGTGGCTAAACTTACCTCTGTCCGGTTGCTCATCTCTCTTGCTGCCTCTTCTGACTCTTCTGACTGGCCTCTGCACCAACTTGACATTAAGAATGCGTTTCTCCATGGCTTTCTTAAGGAAGAGGTTTATATGGAGCAACCACCTGGTTTTGTTGCTCAGGGGGAGTATGAGAAAGTATGTCGTCTTCATAAATCTTTATATGGTTAAAGCAAAGCCCCCGAGCTTGGTTCGACAGATTTAGCCAGATTGTTTTGAAGTATGAGTTAGTTAGATGTAAATCCAATCACTCGGTATTCTATAGGCGATCAACTCTTGGGATCATTTTATTGGTTGTGTATGTCGATGATATTGTTATTACAGGGAATGATAATGATGGGATCTCAAACCTAAAATCATTCCTCCATGAGAATTTCCAAACAAAGGACTTGGGACACTTGAAAACTTTCTGGGAGTAGAGATAATGAGAAGTAAGAGAGGGATTTTCCTTTGTCAGAGGAAGTATGTGCTAGATCTTCTTAAAGAAACTTGAAAAGTTGGGGCAAAACCATGCAGCACTCCAATGACACCAAACATGCAGTTAGGAGTTAGGAAAGGATGATGGTGAGCCATTTCATGATGCAGAACGATATCGAAGACTCGTAGGAAAGCTAAACTATCTCACCGTAACACGCCCTGATATATCCTTTGCAGTTGGTGTAGCAAGTCGATTTATGTCTTCTCCGACCGTTAGTCATTGGGCACTTCTTGAACAAATTTTGTGCTACTTGAAGGGGGCTCGACGGGGATTGTTCTATGGGCGACAGAGTTATCAAAAGACTAAGGCAGTAGAAGCATATTGTGATGCCGACTACGCAGGTTGCAAAGATGATAGAAGATCGACTTCTGGATACTGTATATTTGTGGGAGGCAATCTAGTTTCATGAAGAAGCAAGAAGCAGAATGTTGTTTCTCGTTCAGTTGTCGAAGCAGAGTATAGGTCGACGGCTGATTCAGTATGCGAGGTCGTATGATACATCAGTTACTAAAGGAGCTTGCATTAGAATTTGCTCTCCCAGCAACACATTGGTGTGACAACTAAGCAGCAACCCACATTGCATCAAATCCTGTATTTCATGAACGGACCAAAATAGATTGCCACTTTGTTCGTGATAAGGTCGAAGAAGATTTCGTCACTACAAGATATGTCAAGTCTGAGGATCAGTTAGGGGACATATTTACAAAAGCAGTAAATGGTGTACGAATGAAAAATAATTGTAACAAGCTTGGCATAATTGATATATATGCTCCAGCTTGAAGGGGAGTGTTATCGTAAGTATGGTATAGATTAGATAGCATCAATTAGGTGATATGGTAAATCCCTTAAATTAGGTGTTTTGATTCCTTTCCTTTCTTACATCTTCTTTGGCTTGTATATATATGTTGTAATCCTCATTGAGTGAAATATTAATTCAAGCTTAATAGCATTACAAACTTATTGACAGATTGATATCTTGTAGATCAAATTTCACTAATTTTTTTATTGTTAATCATGAAAATAAATCCAACATGTAACTAACACTGGCTTGAAAGAGTTATAAACACAAATTTTGATGATTTAGCTTCTTCAACATTAAATGGATGACGTGCTACGTTATCCACACATAAAGGCATGAGGTTTGGTAAAATTTTCATTGTCAAGGTATGTTTCAGTTTATGAAAAAACGGAAACAATTAATAACGTGGGTAAACCTACTTCTAAAAAGAAACAATGAAATCATTACTGGACTTCACACATACTAAGTTACTGTGTTATTTCTTGACAAAAGACTTGCATCGAATTAGAGTATCAAGGCACACCAGTTAGTCTTTAACAGAGGAGCATACATTGAAGCATTTATGAGTTACCCTAACACTCAGAATACCGTTCCAATGTTCTATGAAATGGCAAACAGGACTAGAAGCAAACCAAACAGGATGCAAGGAAATGAAGATGAATCTAAAACTTTCGAGCATCTGAAAATCCATACCGGAGCTATTCCCATCAAGCCAAGAAGAGTTCCTGATCCCAAAGAAAGGGCCATAGCCTCGAATATACCAATGCCAACAGCTAAAGTTAAAGCTGTGGAAACTGAGGAGAGCTGCAGCTTTTCTACAGCATAAATAAAAGATTCACTGACTAAGATGATATCACCAACATACTTCTATCCTCAAGAATTTGACAAGAGATACTGAACAAAATGGTTTCACACGATATCTGACTGAAAACTGTAAGTATCATGATAAGTGTATAACACCTACCTGTTGCTGAGAACCTGCCTGCATTTTTTGATATGTCTTCAGCCACAAAGGAAGTTGCAACACTGAGGAGAGGAATGTTGAAAAGCTTCGAGATGATGTTAAAAAGTGATATGGAGACACCAGCTGAAGCCAACTCCACAGAACCTATATCATGTGTACACCTCAAGAAAATGGTTTTGATACTCCAAGCTACTCCCAAAAATAACCTTCTAACAGAAGCCATACAAAACTGGTATCTAAAGGGTCTAAAATAAAATNTAAAAAAAAAAAAAAAAAAAACAGGTGAAACTAAAAACAAATTTTTGAATGAAGGCATCAAGTTTACCCAAGCGACCAATATATGCAGTCTCCATAAGCTGCGCCATTGGTTCGATGGCCTGCCCACCAATTGCTGGTAAAGACAGCATTAAGAGATCGCGCCTAACATCTTTCAATTTTGATGCATTTGAAAGATCTTCCCTTAAATTATCATTAAAATCTTTGACATGAGATGAAGATGCCCTATTGAACTCGCTGAAAACAACAAGAATCAATGCTTGAGCTTGAGTAAATCACCGAATCACACAAGACACGTCGTAGGACTAAGGATATTCTACGATATAATAAATGTGACAATATAACTAATATAAACCATACAATAACTGAACATGACATGAAAAGGATCACGTACTCAGTCCCTTCACCGGAATTCTTTAAGGGATTAAGTTCCAGCCCAACGGCAGAGCTCTCGTCCCCATCACCAGACCCAACACCATAATCCGAGCTAAATTGACAATTTAACTTTGGGGAAAACTGTTTCCTATGACGAATAACAGGACAAGACAATAACCCTTTTTCCCTGCTCAAGGACAGACAACAGATGTCACCACGGCCACCATTACTGACATTTATCCGCCTGTGAAGAAAACAGTGAGACCCTTTTGGTGAAATAGCCCATTTGCTGCTCCTGCTCGAACGACAGCAAGAAACCGCGGCACCACCACTCAGCTGCACAGCTGCCATAGTCGCTTGCTCACAGTTGCTCCACAAAATAAAAACCTACGAATTCTCACAGAAGGAAGAAGAAATCAAATTACGAAGTGAATATGTGAAACGAAACCTTATTCCAGACATCTCCCGGGTTCGGATAATATCAAAATCAATAAT